TGGTTGCAATCAATTCACGCAGGTTCCTGTGGGAACATGTCTGGTAACTTATCATGCTGCAGCCTGTCAAAAGTCTGACGTGCTTGGGGCAAATGTTTGCTTTGTGCAACTGCTATTTCGAGGGTGTGTGATGTCGCTGTCTCAATGGCGTATGTGCCCAGAGACAACAGCACTGAGAGAAAGCATGGTTTCAGGAATCCCAGGATCTGTTATTAGAAGAATGACCACTGTTAGGTAATAACTCAGGGCACACAGTATGAACATTTGAGCAGGAGGGATCGCCTAGGGTTTCATATCAGGTCTAGGGTGGGGTAAAGTTTATGCCACTTTCTTTTTTTTGCATGAGATTCCTGAATTCATTTCCTCAAAGCTTCTCCCTCCATGAATCTAGAAAGATTTCATGGACAATCTGCCATCAGGCTGAAATGATAACAAAACCTGGATTAGCACACCATTTCCCTAATAGAGTCACATTCACTCTTTTTAAAATTATTATTTCCAAGTCTATGGCTATATTTTCTAGCCAAATGCCATTATAAATAATTTACCAAATACAAAAGAGCAGTCTGTGTTGCCTGATTTGTTTTAAATCCATGGCCTAAGGAAACAGAGGAGACCTTTGCTCCCTCTCCATCAGATCACCTGGCATAAAACAATGTGCGCGCTTGGGGTTTAGGTGATATTTTTCCCCTTGCATGCAAACATTGAATGCTTTGCCTCAGAGAAAACAAAACCTTTACAAAGCCCTTGGAGTCTGGATGGTGAGAGACTTGTGGCCCAGGCACCCTGGAGAGCAATGGGCAGCCAGCATCAACTACTAGACATTTGAGTAACCAATCTCAGACCAAGAGCACCCAGCCAACTCAATGGCTGACTGCAAAACTGCCCAGTGAACCCACAGACTTGGGAATAATAATAAAACAGTTAAGTTCCTACATTTTGGGGTGGTTTGTTACACAGCAAAAGCTAATTGATACATCCTCCAATGACTTAGTTTGTATCAATCTAGAGGCCTTTGTCGGTCCTTATTTGCCTCAATGTTTCTGTCTGATTTGAGGTCATCCATTCTGCTGAAAATCTTTAAAATGGATGCTTGTGGGGTGTTCCGGTGTGGTCTTACTTATAACAAGAGTTATCTTAAGTGACTCCCTGGAGATCTTCATTGACCTAGGCATCTCTATTGATGTGAAAGTAAAGAACCTGTTAATCTCTGTTAATCAGGAAAATGGTGTTAGAATGTGGTTTCTCTATCTACTCTTCGGTTTTCTGGCTCAACCTTGCTACCAGCAATGAGCCAGCGAGGGTAGAATAAGCCTGGCCAGTTGAAGGTTAATAATTGGGAAGTAGGTCCTAGCTACCTGTAGTAATCACAAAGTTCATCAGAGAAGCAGAATCAATAGGATGCATGTGTGGGTATTTCTATATGATTTTGATTTTTAAATATGCATAAACATACACACACTCATAGAAAGAGAGAAAGAGAGAATGACTGACAGAGATTGTGGAGGCCGGCAAGTCCAATGTCTTCAGGTTAGATCAGAAGGCTGGAGACCTAGGGAAGAGTTGATGTTGCAGTTCCAGTCGAAAGGCTGGCAAAATTCCTGGAGGGAGGTGAGTCTTTTTTCCATTAAGACCTTCAACTGATTGGATTAGGTCCACCCACATTATGGAGGGAACCTGCTTTACTCAAAGTCTACTGATTTAATTTTAATCACATCTAAAAAATATCTTCACAGTAACACCTAGATAATGATTGACCAGATATCTAGGTACCAACTAGGTCTAGCCAAGTTGACACATAAAATTAACCATCACACTACTGTTGTTGCTAATTAGATGACTAGACTTTCTTATTCTTAAGAAAGTCACTATTGTTTCTGATCCACTAGTCATTGTCCAGGACTCAGTAGCTAGATATAGCAGATTTCGAAATGGTTCTGATCTGAACAGATGTGCTTTGTGACTAATGAATCATGCAAAACATTTCTTGTATTTGCTTCCCTCTTTATTTCTCATTGATTGATCCTGGATAGGTGAGAAGTTTTCTCTATCAGAAAAGTCATCTAAATCAATAAAAATTTACAGAAACCACAAGCATTGTCATGATAGTGTCAGCAGTTGCCAAGATGTCTTGAGAGTCCAGTTTCTTTTTAAATTATAGTCAGAATTACAGTGACGCCACCAAGAAGGAATAAATGTGTCAGAGATAGAAAATGTGATTTCACAATCCTTTGTTTACAGGTTTTAAAAGTCTTTGTCAGTTATACAAAAAGCCTCTAAAAGTAGGACTAAAAACATGAGGCACAAAGACTGGAACAAAATAAATGAATGTGGTTAATAACAGATATGTGGGCTCTCAAGGATATTAACATACATAAAAATTCATCATGAGAAATAATTACATTCCCTATTGTGGCCCACCCTCTAATTCTCCTGGGCCCTGAAAAATAATGGGAAGGTTAACACATTTCTCACATTTCTAAGCATGTTATTATTTCTTGCTTACACAAAAATTGCATAAAAGCAATCATTTGGAATCTGGGAGTAGATGACATATACTAGACTCGGATAAAAGCTTAACCAAAATAGAAAAGCAATCTGGCATTGCTGACAATATTGTCACAAAAATATTACATCTTATGAAGGGAATTTCTCAGAATTCAATAACAACATGTTTAACAGCTAAATGGAGTCATTTGCATATTGTGGCAAAGTAAAAATACAATAATCTCATTTTTTGCTGTCTAATAGGATTTCCTAGGGCTGGTTGGCTGGGAAGCATAGTCCAGTCCTTGCAGTCTGCCCTTTGCTTTTTGTTCATTGTTTTCCTCCCTCTGGGCTTTTTCTTCTCCACCAGTTCTTTTTCTCCCTTTCTGCTCTACCTTTATTTTCATTCTTCTTCTTTTTTTGTGTGTGTGTTTTCTGTTTTTTGTATTTTTAAGAGGCAAAGAGTCTCACTCTGTCACCCAGGCTGGGCTGGAGTGCAGTGGCACAATAACAGCTCACTGCAACCTCCCCTCCCGGGTTCAACAATTCTCCTGCCTCAGCCTCCCAAGTAGCTGGGACTACAGGCACACACCACCATGCCCAGCTAAATTTTTGTATTTTAGTAGAGATGGGGTTTCACCATGTTCCCCAGGTTGGTCTGGAACTCCTGAGCTCAGGCAATCCACCTGCCTTGGCCTCCCAAAGTGCTAGGATTACAGGCGTGAGCCACCAGGCCCGGCCTTCATTATTCTTTTTTATCCTGTACTCCTTTAATTTATTCCTTTCCATTATTTTCTTATTCACTAGAAGAGATTCCACCTGACTGCCATTAACCTATTCCTAAGTATTAGCAGAGGAAATGAATGATCATTTCTCATCGTTTTCCTTGTCAGACCTTCTTCTTTTTTTTTTTTTTTTCTGAGATGGAGTCTCACTCTGTTGTCCAGGATGTAGTGCAGTGTAGCAATCTCAACTCACTGCAACCTCCAACTCCCAGGTTCAAGTGATCCTCCTCCCTCAGCCTCCCAAGTAGCTGGGACTAAAGGTGTGTGCCATAACGTTCGGCTAATTTTTGTAGTTTTAGTAGAGATGGGCTTTCACTGTGTTAGCCAGGATGGTCTTGATCTCCTGACCTCATGATCCTCCTGCCTTGGCCTCCTAAAGTGCTGGGATTTTTACACCTTCTTTTACCTGCAAGTCTGCCATTATTATTGTTGTCATTATTATTGTTATTTCCCTGGTTACCTCTTTCTAGGCCAGGTCAAAAGAATAGGTGGACTGGGCCATTTCCTAGGAGGTACAGAAACATCCCACCAAATTCCAGAAAAAAGAAGATAGTACAATTACTGAAGTTTTGTGTGTGTTCGTGTGTGTGTCTGTGTGCGCACATATGAACTTTGGTTATTATTTCCTCTTATTTTGCCTGCATTATTTGGATAAATGCTTTAAATCATCAGGACCAGAATGGCATGGTGGTTGAGAGACAGGGCTCTGACATTAGCTTCAACTTCATGCTTTCCCATATATTAGTTTGAGCCCATAAAACTTACTAGATTTTTCTGCTCTTCAGTTTCCTTATCTATGAAGTCAGAATAATTATAGAAGAGAATTTACAGTACTACTGGGAAGATTCAGTAAGATAATGAACTGAAAACATTAACACATTGCCTTGTACATAGTGGACACAGCAAAGGTGACTCTCATTCCACAAACCTACGTGTATGGGAAACAGCACATTTCTTTATTTGTGAATAAATTAGCCTCTCATTAGTTTGTAATTCCATCTCACATACTCTATTTGGGACATAAAGTTCCTCAGGGTCTCTTAAAGGTTCTGAGCCCACATGATGAGCCAATGTGCTGATGGTGGCCCCTGGTCATTACAATCTGCTCAGCCAAGTACCTGCTGGTGGAGCCATTGTCTCTCCCACCCTCAGCTCTCAAGGTCAGATTCCTTTTTGAATATAGAATCTTGGGAGAAGCTGGCAACCACTGTCCCTATGATCCCATTTTTGCCAATTCTTTCTATGAGGTGTCACTCCCGGGAAGGCAGAAGGTAGGCATACCATTGTTCTGTCATCCACATGCCTCACTCCTCTCTAGTCTTAGGAAATGTCTCTCTCTTTTTTATTAAAATCAGGATCAAGCACCTCTCTGCCTCCTGCTTCTTCCAAGTCCTGGTTCTCTTCTATTGCTCTGCCAATGTTCTTTTCTCCTCTGAGCTTAGCCTATTGAAAACAAGATGGAGACATCTTGCAAGCACAGTGAGCCCTCCAGCCTGCCACAGACCACCCATGAAGCAATAAAGCGTAGAGTTTTCTTCCTTTTTAAGTAGCTGGGGAGGGCAGAAAGACCCCAGTAGTAGTAGTACAGAAGAAAGAAAAAGAGAAAATACATGGGGGAAACCCCAGAAATTAATTTCTAAATGTTATCCAGCTACATAAGTGTTATTCAGATATTAGTTGTTTTTTTTTTTAAACACCTTGCTGAAACTGTACTTGGCCTGATTAGTACTTTTCTCTTGGCATTTATTACATACCTTCAATCTTAGTTCATTTTCTGTTGCTATAACATGATGCCTGAGACTGGGTAATTTATAAAGAAAGAGGTTCATTTGGCTCTTGATTCTGGAGGCTGGGAAGTGCAAGATCAGACAGCTGCATCTGGTCCACTTCTGGTGAGGGTCTTGTATACCATCACAATATAGCAGAGAGGCAAAACAGGAAGTGTACATGCAAAAAGGACAAAACATGAGGCATGACCTTGCTTTATAAAAACATGCTCTCTGGAGAACTAACCTGGTTTTGTGAGAAAGACATTAATTCATCTTGCTGGCCTAATCACCTCTTGAAGGCCCCACCTCCCAACGTGGTTACCTTGGCAATTTTTTTGGCAATCAATTTTAACATAAGTTTTGGAGAGGACAAACCACATTCAAACCATAAAACTTTCCTTCTTAGAACATCATCTTCTTTGCTATGACTCAGCCATCTTCTAGTTACCTCCTATAACCCTGGGTGCTACTTCTGTTTATTTCATGGAATCTTCTACAATCTGTGTCATAGTGTTTGTGGGGTTCCAGATTCTGCTCTGCGCTCTCTTCTCTTCTCACCCTACCCATTTCCCTGGGAAATTGTACCTACTTCTGTTATTGATCTTTTGATAACTTCCATATCTGTTCTTCAGCTCTGTGGTACATTGCAAAGCCTGTCCAGAAATATTTATTGCTCCTCCTGTCAAGAGGTGGAGTTGATTTCTCCAACCATTGAATCTGGCTGCCTTTGGGACTTGCTATGGAGAACAAAATGCAGAAGTGATGCTGTGCCAGTCTTAAGCTTGTACCTCAAGATGTTTTGCACACATATGCTTTTGATCTTGGAACCCCTTATCGTAGCCCAGTGAACAAACTGGGCTGAGCTGATGATCAAAGACAACTCCTTCACCCTTTCTGTCTACAAGGCCCTCTGAAAACAGCTGGTCCTCTGGTGATCTATCAGTTAACTGGTAGGTTCATAAACTAGCTTAGCCCAGATTAGCCAGCCTGGTCCAGATCCACAGAAACATCTAGATGACTTGAAGTTATGAGCAATAATAAAACATGCTGTTTTTAAGACACTAACTTCTGGGGTGGCTTGTCACACAACAAATGTTGATTCGTACAAGCTCAAACATATCTTCTGAGCTCCCTGTCTTACAAGGCCAGTGGTCCCTGAACATCTCCATCCACACGTCCTAAATTCAACATGCCCAAACCTGACTTCAACATTCTTCCTCATCCCCAGTCCATACCTACTTCCAAGAAGAGCTGATTCTTCTTTTGTCTTTTTTTTTTTTTTTTTTTATCTTGGCAAACAAAATGTCATCTACTCAGAAAACTGGGCAGCATCCCCACCCCCAATTCCTTTCCCCCTGTATTCAACCTATGACTAAGAGCAGTCAATCCCACTTTTGAATAGCTCTCCTACTTATCTACTTCTCTCTACCTCCACTAATTTTTTGTGGTATAGAATATTATCTCCTCTAGCCTGGTTTTCTCAAGCCTCCAAAGTCATTTTCTGACCTGCACGCTTGCCTTAACTTCCATTTTTTATTTCACAGGATACTTTCAAAATGTAATTTTAACCATGTGAATCACCTGAAGAAATTCCTATAATGGCTCACATTCTGTCATAATGTCCATGAGCTTCTGCTGGACTCACAGCCTTGACTTTAATCCTCATATAATTGGGAAGAATTAACAATTCTTGAACGGGAACATGTTAGTACCAGGGCTCTGCTTCAAGAGAACTGGTCTGGGAGTTGTACTGAGCATGGCCTATGGGGAAACTTGGGATGTAAGAAGAGAAATTAAGAAGGCCTTTCATACATCCAATGAGAAAAGATGGATCTCAAACAAGACTGGTGGCAATGGGAGCTTTCAGTGTTTTTTGAAGGAAAGTTTTAGGAGGATGAGATGGATACCAAGAAGAACTTCAGGAGTATGTTATTCAGGCTTTGTTCTGACCAGATGTCAAGGGAGGGAAAGGGAAAAGTAAAAACTGCCCGTGATCTCAAGCCTGGCTCACAGATATGAGTGAAAGCACTGTTTGAATAATAAAGTATGGAGGAGAAGGAAGTTTATGGAGCAAAGAAATGGTCACAAGACAACTAGGGGACATGGTGCTGGAAAGGTGGTTTGGGGTCAGCCCTTCTGTGCTTGCGTGGCAGCTAGTAGCTCAAGCGCACTGCTCAGCTTTTTCCTTCTGCATCTCTGTATACACCATTTCTTCTACCCAGCTTCCTGATCTATTAATTAAAACCATACTTCCAACATCTTTCTCATGTGTCTCTCTTCTGGCTGCTTATTTACGTAATGAATGTTGATTGCGTGATCACTATATGTCAGCTCTAGGGCTGCTGTGGTAAACTGAGCTCTCCCAACGACCCCTCCATCTCTCTCCATAAGTATCACCTATAACCCCGTATTATGAAACTCAGTCCTGTGTGATATTCAGCTCTACAGCCAATGATAGTAGATCAGAATTACAGTTTGGCAAACTCTCCCAGTACACTAGATCTTAAGTTCATCTTTGTATTTCTCAGAGCACGCAGTAAATATACAATAAATATTTGATGAATTAATGAATCATGCTATAAAATATTAAAATAGGTCTGCAATGATAACATTTTATTAAAATGATTACGCTATTTTCAATGTTAAGACCTAGAGATAAAGTAGAATGGAGAGTCTCTGCAGTTCATTAGCAACTGAAAAGAACCAGTCAAAATTTCATTAGAGGAAACAGACAGGCATAGCTGACATAGATCACCTTGCCCTGATTTTCCTTGTGAAAGTTCATTGAAATTTTATGGTAGTGATTTGTTGTAGTGAGAGGTTTAACTTTCCTGACCCCAATAGTTACATGTGATGTGATTTGAGGGGTGCACCCTGATGCCCCCGCCTCCTTATCTACCCACTGGCAGATGTTTGAGATTTCACTGTCTCCATCCTCTCAGTGTAAGGCTTTGATCTGTGCTAAATGACAATATGCGCAGGCGGGGCCACACTGTGAGAATGAAGGGAAAGGCTGGGAAGAAAGCATTTGAGTTCATCATGAAATTCAGCACGCAGTTTCTGGGAGTTGAAGTGAGTTTGTAGGTGGCTGAGATGCTTGGAGCAGAGATGGGTGATAGAAGATGAAATGTCTTGATAAAAGAAAAAGAAATTGCAAAAATTGTCACTCAACTCTCCTATTTCTTCTTGTTTTTCTATGCCCATCTCTCATTCTTCCTTTCCCCGGATCTTTCTTATAAAAATAATATATAATCAGGCCTTGACGTTGTCATTTTTATTTTTATTTTTATTTTTTTGAGACGGAGTCTCGCTCTGTCACCAGGCTGGAGAGGAGTGATGTGATCTCGGCTCACTGCAACCTCCGATTTCCAGGTTCAAGTGATTCTCCTGCCTCAGTCTCCCGAGTAGCTGGGATTACAGGTGCACACCACCACACTCAGCTAATTTTTATATTTTTAGTAGAGACAGAGTTTCACCATGTTGGCCAGGATGGTCTCCATCTCCTGACCTCGTCATCCACCCATCTCGGCCTCCCAAAGTGCTGGGATTACAGGTGTGAGTCACCATGCCCGGCCACAGTTGTCATTATTAGAGACTGGCTATTGTATGAATAAGGACTTACAAAAATATATTCATCTAGGTCTTATTTTTTGCATTTGTTTTGTTAATATAGACGTTAAAAAATTGACAAAGCCTTGTTACTGTGGCCCATTCCCCAGATAGTGAAGTGGTTTTATCATAAAGAACATTTTATCATAATTGTATTCCTTGTATCAACCTATTTTAGCAAAGCTCATAGTGTTATGTGCCTCCCTAGTGAATAAAAAACACATGCTCCATAAAATTCAGTCTTTGAAGAATATCTGATTACACTAAGGGTGTTATTTACATATGACTTAAGAAAGTAATAACTCTTTAGAATGTGGGCAGAATGAGAGCAGGAATTTCTATTTTTGCCCTTTTTGTATCTTCTGTGTTTAGAACAGTTCCTGGTAGATTAAAAGTATTCAAATGAACATTTTTTAAATGAATGAATGAATGGTATAGCTTTTATGGGGTAGCCTCATGAAAAATACTCTGTGTTGTGTGCACCAATGCAGAAGTCAGAGCTCTGGTGTTAAATCTCACTTCTGCTACTTACTCCACTATGGGCCCTGGCATGAGGCCCTTGGTCTCTCTAAAATTCACTATATTCATTTAGCGAATGACTCTTGTGTTAGATCATAAACTCTGTGAAGCTAGAGACTGGACCTGATTTGTTTCCCGCTGATTTGTTCCTTGCCTATCACTGCTTAGCATAACAGCTGGAATATAGAAAGGGAGAAAGTAAATTATCTGTTGAGAGATTTAACTCATTTTGGTGATCTTAGTAATGTTTTATGAGGACTAAATGAGAATAGCTAAATGTAAGTGTTTAACCCTATGATGAATTCAGATGAAGAGGGAGGATCTTATATTAAACTACATTTCTTGTAGACAACAATGATAAGTGTTGGAAAAACCTTTTAAAATAGTTATTGGAAGGCATTAGAGAGCAAACAAAAGCAGTCAAAAGCTGGAGGGGATGTCATCTCTGAAAGGAGGAATTGCAGGTGAGGAGGAGGAGAAGGGGAAACAGCCCCAGAGGATGCCACACGCTAAGAGGAGACCAGTGTGGCAGGAGAGGAGAGGGAAGCTGAGATATGAGGCTGTGTAGGCCAACTGGAGTTTCCTAATCTTTATCCTAGGTGCCAAGGAAAGCCACCAAGAAGTTTAAGCAGTTGCGGATGGCAGTAGGGGTGGTTCCTGTTTTGAAAGGATCTCCTGGCTGCAGCTTGGAAAAGTGCTCTGATGCAGGGTTCGTTGAGCCAGCTGATTGAGCAGCCTATGCAATGGGATGCATCTTGCCTTCCTTATCTACTGCTGCATGACACATTACCATACAATAAAACTCACTACTCTCTCACAGTTTCCATAGAAGTCTGAGCACAGCATAGCTGGGTTCTCTACTTGGGTCTCTCCAGGCTGAAGTCAACGTGTTGGCCAAGCTGTATTCTCATCTGGAGCTTGGGTCATCTTCTAAGCTTATTCAGGTTGTTGGGAGAGTTCAGTTCCTTGTAGTTGTAGGACTGAGGTCCCTGCTTTCTTGCTGACTGTTGGCCAGGACCTGCTCTCAGCTCCTAGAGGCCACCCTCAGCTCCCAGCCACATAGCCCTCTCAAAACATGACAGCTGACTTTTTCAAAGTTAGCTGGAGAATCGTCCCCTACTCTGCTAGGAAAGAATCTTAGAGAAGGTGATGTATTTTCCTAGGTCTAGCCCAAGGGGAGGGGAGTCCACAGAGGGTGAACAGCAGGGTGTGGAAAGCCTGAGAACCACCCTAGAATCTGTCTGCCATCATTTCAACATGGTATACGTTTAACTATTTCCGGGGCCCAGATCTGCCTTAGGGGTGAGACCACTGATAATGACACCCCTCGGTACTCTGTTCTTTTCAGTAAGCCCTTTGGATGGAGTCCTGTACAGGTTACCTGCAGCCAAGCAGGTGTCCCTCTTTCTTAGTGGTACATTTCCTTGTAGAGTAATGAGCTGTGACCACATGGGTGGGTTTTGTTGGGAGAAAGGCAGCATTCGTGACAATAGTTTACTTCATACAATTGGCTCCTTATCACTTTGGCAAAATTTAACCTTTAGTTTGCAAAGAAGCCACTCTAGCTGAACATAAGCGAATTCAAATACCTGTTTTTCAATTTTTGTATATGGATAAAGTTCTAAAAAATACAATCCTGTGCCAAAAATTGTGGTAATTGAAAAAGTTACAATAGTTGGCTTCTGTTTTTATAATGTAATTTCAGCTGGATTTCCTTTAGGCAGCCTAAGTATGCTTTGGCTTCCTTAAACTCAGATTGCGCTGCGTTTTCTCCCAAAGAGATGTCCCTGCTGCAGGCTTCCTGGCGTTCTATTTGATTAAGACACTTTTAGGGGTGCTCTTCCTTTGGCTTTTACGGACGTGAGAGCAATTAAAGGAAAAGTGACTGACTTACCTTCCACCGCATCTTTCTTTGACTTGTTTGCTTCTGTTTTCCATTCCATTTATTATTGATAGAGTGCTTGTTTTCATAGCTTCTGCGTATTTTACAAAACCACATAAACAGCCTTTCCTCCTGGAAGAGGGGAAGGTGCCGGTTGCCATTAAACCAGTGGCCACTCACTTCCCGGCCGGTTATGCATCCCCCATGTCCTTTGGGACTTGGTCCGAGAGGGAGCCAGGAGTAGTGTAAGGGGGAGGAATCAGAGGAACAGAAGGAGGTGACACAGGCGAGGGAAAAGCTGCCAGCCAAGCCTGGGCATGGAAGGGGATTGGGTGGGAGAGGGGGGTCTCCTTTAGTCATTCAAGCAGAGCACCCCAAAAACCCTGACAGTGCTGCAATGTTCAAGGTGACAACTATCCCTTGGTTAGCTGCGGAGGATTAACTCCAATCTCCTGGGAACTCTCAATTTGTAAGGATTTTTTTTTTTTTTTTAATGCTTTTTTTTTTCCCTCTAAGTGGTAAGGAACAAAAGGGAACATCATCATTAACTATACACTACCTAGACATGCCCAAACCATGTATGTTTGTGAATTTTCAGTAATGCCTGTTGCCCTCCCCACTTACCCCATTGCTGTCTTCCAAACACATAACGTGGCCCGAAACGCTTGAAAGGCAAAGCTGCAGTGGTGTATGTTGACCCTGGCCCTTGAGGCCTCCACAGAGTTCTCTGAAGTAAACATGTGAGCTGAGAAGCTCTTTTCCACGGGCTATAAATCTCTGTAAGTGCTGCTGGTTCTAGTCTCCGGTCTCTGCTGGAAGCCACAGCTGCAGGGGGAGACACTTCCCAACTTTCACTGCTTGGGAAGGGTCAGAGATTCCCCCTGGAGCTGCCTCTGCCCTGTGACCCTGACAAATGCCAAAGGCACTTTCTCTAGGCAGCAACCTGCCTCCGACTTTCTCACCAATACCTGGAGACTTCCTTCCTCAGGCTGACCGCCAAGTGGCCCGCTGGACCCGCCTGGCTGCCAAGTGGGAGCAAGCACAGGATGTTATTTCTGTTCTTAGAAGACCAGGTTCACACAACACAGCCAGGAGTGTGGGAAGGGAGAGGTAGGGCCTCCTTTCTGGCATCCAGTGCTGTCCCCAGTGGGAGTACTGTTTTCCTAGTGGCAGTGAATGGGTTGGTCTGAGGCCCTGGGCTCCTACCCAGTCCTCTAAAGGAGAGAAAGCAGCCCTAGGGCATTTGCCAAACC